AACCGCAAAACCCCAAAACCCCAAAACCCCATGCAAATGATGTTGCAGAAATTATGAAATCAATACATTTAATCACTTTTAAATATCTAGAATCAATCAGTTGAGTTACTATTAGATTCTTCATAAATTAAATCTTGAATTATTCTTTGTGTTTTTTCTCCTATAATGCTATTTTAACATAAAATTTGACTTACTTTTTAATTCTTTCTTGTTAAGAGTTTGCTATTGCAACTATTGCTGCTGAATTTCTTACTATCCAGAATTAAAGAAGCTTTGATCTTCAAAAAATGAGTTACTTCTGATAATAGAGCTTTATGGTAAGAATCTTTGATTATTAGTAATGGTTTGAAATCTTTGCATTTGATTTGTACCTCCAAATTCACTAGTACCATCATCCAAGTAGCTTTTGCCTTCGTTAAAATCAGATCTCTAATCAACTTAGCTCTGAGCATAAACATTATCTTATGAGTTATTCATTCCTTGGAATTGATTTTAGACCTCATTACGATATTTCTAATGAAGCCAGTCATAACTCTTTGAGTATTTTACGCCCAAGAATCCATGCTCAATAATGATCAGGAACACATTCTAGACAACTCTAAAGTAGATTTGAATATTACTAATACTTACACTATACCAAAGAATACAAATATGTACATATAGATGTTCGCTGAAAGGTATCTAAATCCAGTTATACCATTGAATTCATCGAGAAGAGAATCACCCTACATCATTGAGAAACAGCTAAATGCAGAAAATTGTAGATTTTAAAATCTAATTGAATCCCAGAATAATGATAGCCCGAGGAATACAAATCCTATAAATAGTGGAACTCCTCCTATCATCGCTCTTAGTACAATCGGTAAAGTATAGGTAATTGTTCTGTTTATCAAGGAGTATTTGGAAGTTTAGTGCATATATGATGGAATAGAGCACCAGCAGAAAAAGCATCCAAATCCTATGAAAAACTCAGCAGATCTCAATGATTTGTCCTCTAAGAAAATAAAGATAATAGTACCACTCATTATGAGAAAGTCTGATAGGATATGAATAATCACCCAATAATTAATAATCTAAACTCTTTGCCAAAAGCCAAGTTTGTCCCAATCCTACTATACTTGATTTTCATTATTGGTTAGGTTATCAATATGCTAATTTAAATTTGTCATAGGGTTTTCATCAACTCTCTTAAAATCATCTGAGAATAATCTTTGATGTTATGGGTCATTCGCGTCTATTGATAATTTCAACCCAAATTTCATTGGCTAATCAACTTTCATAGAAACACTTCTTTTATATTCCCTATTACTTCCTGCAATTTGCTGCATCTTCATTTTCTAAATGAAAATAAACATTTTTTATTAATTCCTTACATGCTTATTCGAGGGAGTTACATTAAGATCGGATGCTGAATTTCTTACATCTACTGGTATACTCTATTGAACTTTCTTATTATGCTTCTATTTCAATTTCTTATATCTATTCCTGATTTCGAATATGTACTTTATAGTCAGGAAGAAATGAATGAATGATAGAATAAAAACCAAAAGATGAAGCCATATCATTCTATCCCATCTGAATTAATGCTGATTTGAACAAACATTCCTTATAAAATTCAACTTTACTTGAATGGCGCTTCTTTATGAAAACTAAAAGAATTATTAGATTTGCCAATCATAGCAGGTAGCCTCTGCTGGCGCTTTCTCTGGTAATATTTATTTAACCTTGTATACTATCTCCCAGCTAGAAAGTGCTAACAGCAATTACTAAAGAAGTAAATTTATAAGCAATATACCTTCAAAGATCCATTATCAATATTCTACTAATTAAAGTAGCCATAATCATTCTAGGTGAGATAGAAACTACCTTTGTAATTTGTTCCGTAATTATCACTTTAAAAGTGTAGGAATGCCTGAGGCGGTACTTGTTTCCCATTGTCATAACTAAAAATGGTGAGACTAAACTCGCCAAAATATAAGTTTTAATCACTTACTTATATTCGTAATCTTCTAAGCTATCAATATTCGAGTCAAGGTTGAAGAAGTTATTCACAGAGTCTTTTATCAATTGATGTAGATCTGAAAAGTCAAATAAGTTCTTGTAATTTGAGAAATCCCCATTGTAGTTTTGCTATAGAAGATATTAAACTATAAATAACTGATTTAGCTTACTGATGAATCAAGGAACATATGGTAAAATACTATTTGTTGTGCTGAATTCTACATGCCAGTCTACTTTATTTCAAGTTAAATTTAGGCAGTAGTAAAAATCACTAATGCAACTTAAATTACTAATTTATAGGGAAATCTGTCTATAATTGATAATCAGCATTCATAGCTATATATTACTGTAGAGTTTGTATTTCTCTATAGGGCCAAGTATCAACTTATCAGTAAGAGGCATCTTTTTTCTTTATCTCTCGTTAATTTTATTTTCCTGCTCTAATTTAGCTTGAGAGCTATGTCAGCCCTGAGAATCAAAGGCTAGTTAATTTTGCTGAACAGAGTTTTGCTACATAATAGATAGAATATTAAAATTAATTTCATACTTATTATTACTTAAATCTTTTATATCAAAATAATTTTATATTATGAGGGGTTTTGGGGTTTTGGGG